ATATATGCAAGAAAAAGAAGCTGGGTCGGTCACGTAGCAAGGATGACTGACAACAGATGGACGAAACGCGTTATCGATTGATGCCCACGACTAAATTCCATGTGTTTTTAGGGCTCGAAGGACAAAATTTCATAGTGAATTGGTGGTGGGGAAGAAAGTTGTCTACTTAATGTGGTACAAATCTTTTGACAAGTTGAACTGTCATGTACCACGAATATGCGGTGTGGTCTGTCTCCGTATTTCATCCCTTAGCTGTAAACACAGACAGTGCAAGGTGTGGTTAGGAGTGGGAATCATTAGTACACCTTCCTAACCACCATGCCAAAACATAAATTACGTGCAAAAGTCAAAACCACTCCACATGCATTCTCTATAAAAGGCGGGAGGCACTCGTGAGGTGGCGCCAGTCGTAGCAAATGCCAAAAACAACCACTCGCTGGCAAGGCTTTTGAAGGTTACTTACAAGCAAGCTGATGGCAGAATTTAACTGTAACAGATGAAAATTCACAAACCTGTAATGCATGGTGTTTGTGACATTTTTCGGTGAAATTGGCTGGTACTTTTCGAGATTCAATGCAAACATTGAATTGAAACGGAAGAAATCGATGAGTTCACAGGCTGAATCGATCTCCGCCTGTACAATATTCTTTCCCTGACCTAACATTGTTGCTGCATTTAGTCGCATACGATATTTTCCAGCACAAAGATCTGCTGCATGCAACAAAACATCGGCTCGTTCCCTGGAAAATTTAAAACTTCCTTTTCGGTTAGCCTAAAACTATACAAAGCAACGATGTTTTGTCTTCGCTTTATATTAAACCTAGGGCTGGAATGCGCCTTGTTTGGCGCCAGTGCGATTATGCGTTTTTGCACCAGATTTGAAGTATTCAGGTCGTTAAAAATGCATGAATGATTGTTGCTTTATACCTAATTTTTGCGCTCACTAACGTAAATCATCGTAAATTTTGCATAAAAGGAATGAGTAATTTCCGTTTAACGATCATTCTTTGAAAATGACCTAGCGTTCAGTGAGCAATTTTCTTACTTAAAATTTTAAGTGCCCTTAAATGATGG